ACAGACACATGCGATGTGATGGTGACGCTACGGACAGTGAGAATGATGACGAAGGTAATGACGGCCAAAACACATGCGCACTCAATCCATACTCCCACGCTGCAACACACATGAGGCCGATGATGAGGGTGACGGTGAGGGTGATGAATATCCGAGTGGACTACGACATACGGCGACGATAGAGGCGCGCTCATTCAGCCAGACAGCTCAACATCACAAGTAGCAGTTCGCAAGTAGCCACGCCCTCTGGTCTTCCAGAGGAATCTCTAAAGCCCGACTCACGTGGGCAGCCCTGCCCATGTGTCGGCCCATCTCCTGCCACACGGCCAGATAAGCAATGGGCTGGTAGATGCCCAGATCAGCGCATTGAGCAGCCATCGCGTTCCGCCTTCTAGCACAGTTCGGGTGGCTGTCGCACTTCAGCCGATATCGGAAATATCCCGAGATCGCCATGCGATCTTCAGTGGCGAGGCGCTGGCCCCCGATAAACTCAGGGATTTCAGGGGCGGGGCCGGCCACGTCCTCGACCTCTGGCGCCAGCATCTCGTCAGAGGTACTCGAGCTCGAGCTGCTGGAACTCGATGAGGAGCTCGAAGACGAGCTGCTCGAGGACGAAGACAAGTCAGACTTTGGCGCCTCGTCGCCAATAGGCCCGCCAGATTCCGAGCCGTCCTCCAAGGCAGCAGGCTCGGGCCCCCCGCCAGGGGCAATCGCGTCGCCGTCTTCTACGGCTTCAGGGAGGTCTAATTCTGCAATCACGTCCTCGATCTGTTCCCCTTGTAGAATCCGCCTGTACATCTTCGCTGACAGTCCAGGGGGAACGATGCTCCCTCGGAGCAAGTTCTTGTAGTAATCGATCGGGGCATCGCTGCGCATCTCCGCCAAGCCCTGCCCCACCAAGGTGTCCCACGACAGCAAGCACTGGAGATACTCTCGGCGGGAACTCACTTTCCGAATGCCGTACTCTGTCAAGGGGGCACCCTCAGACTTGTGGACGACCAATGTGTCTGACATGACAAAGCCTCGCCTGTTGAGTTCCTTCATGATCACAAGGGGCGGGCACTGTGAATCGGCCAATGCCATAGTTGGTCGAGCCAGGGAGCACGCCTTCAAATCAAGGCAACCAGGCATGTCGTGGTTTCTCGCAACCCCCCATGCATACAACTCCTCCATGAGATTCGCCCATGGGGCAGTTGCGACGAGATCAGTCCGAAGTCCATCGCCATCAGGGTATATGATCGCGCCAGCCCCGCGGTCGGGACCCCAGAACGCATATGTCTGAATGGCTAGTTCAAATATCGGCTTCCGTACTTGCGCTCTGATGGGGTTGACCGCGAGCCATGGCCTCGTCACAACTTTCAAGACTTCGAACACGAAGGGGTCGTCGTTGTCTGGGACCGCGACGCTGTAGAAGCAGCGGGGGTGAATCACGGCGTCCAGGTAGCTCTTCTTCAAGCTTGCCCCCTGGTCGGCAGGCAGGGGGGGACCCCCGTGGGGCTCGACCAGCGCTGCATCGCGCCCAGGTGACGGGGGAAGGCCATCGCCGCCGTCGCCAGCACCTCCGTCGCCCACTGGTGGTCCCACGCCAGCGTCAGCGCCATCTTCAATGTCCGCAATCGCAATCGCGGCTGCAGCAGCGTCCCCTGTCATGATCTCTGCCCAATCGAAATGGTTGAACTCGCCGAGGCGGTATACTCGCTGAATGCACTGACGCAGCGGCTGCTTGACGCGCTTCAGGAACAACTTACTTTTCGTCTGCAGTACCCTCGTCGCGTGTCGAAACTCGCAATCTAGACACGCTTCCCCCTCGGGGCAGTCCTCGAGCATCGCCACGACATCCAGGTTTTGCCAGATCCTGTTGGAGGATAGTAACCACGGCAAGCGGGAGACGCCGCCGCGAGTTTTGCCGAGTTTGGTTGACCTGCGGTAGCCTTCAGCAACCTGGGATGACAGCGGGATCCTGCGGAAGGCTTCGACCTGCTCCTCCAGGCGGCTTGGGACGTCGCCGCCGCTGCCCTCGTCAGCGATCCTCCTGATACCCTGCTCGAACTCGTCCATGAGCAAAACCGTCATTCTGTGATGGTCTCGCCGAGGAATCACTTCCCACTGTTGGATCATAGATTGGGCGACCGCCTGGTCCGTGGCATTAGCGAACGTATATGGCACCATATCAACCCAACCGAACTTTTCCTTGAACTCGGGCAGGAAGCGCCTCAGGCAAAATGTCAAGTCACTGAATACGGCCTCGTCGCCCCCAACGTCGCCGACCACCAGGGTTTCTGCCGTGCGAGTGAGCTCTGTCCTCAAGTCATGAACCCTCTCAGATGCCTCGTGGAGCCGTCGGCCCAGCATCTCGCACTTGACGCTCTTCCCCTTCATCAGCGCTTCCTGGTGGGCAGGGTGTGGGCAGGCTGCCGCCCAAGTTCTGAACCGATCGATCGGCTTCGCCATCATGGTGAAGCCGCTCACCCAACGCCAGAAATGGCTGTTACCCTTGTGCTTCAGAACCTCGTTGAAGTCCTGCGCGTCCTGGAGCGCACCGAGCACGTGCGGCCTGAAAAAAGAACATATGTTGCGTAGCCTGCTCAGCGAAACAACGACATCCAGGAACGTCTCGGACCTCCACTTGGCGAACGACGCAGAGAAGTATCTCAACAGTTTCGAAAAGTCACCATGCCCATTTGTTTTCAACCAGACCACGAGCGCCTCACGATAACTATCGTTTCGAAAGAACCTGCAGTGGGCTCGAAGAGTGTTCAAAATATTCGGCCACTCCTCCAGAGCCTGCAGCGATGCCTTCAGGCACCCAGAAATGAGATGATGCCAATCGGGAACGGCCACGCAAAACTCCAGCAGCCTACTGTATGACGCAAACATTGCCGAAACTTGAAGCCCCAGCTTGCTCGCAAAGACGGTCAGACAGTTCCCCAGATCTGCGATCAGACGCTCGTGGCCCATGTCGGTTGTAATCGACAAGCAGTCTTCCAGAACATGTTCAAGCGTTTCCATGCGAGGACCCGCAATCAGCCAAAGCTGCCACAAAAGTGCAAATGCCTTGTCCATTGCCCCTTGGTAGCCGTGGCCCAAGCACACGCCTGGCAACAAATGCCCCAACACTGATGCGCCAGGGATAAATATGTCGCACAAGCTCCCCATGATCTCTTCCCCCGAGTTCGGACTCGAGTCGGTGTACAAGTGGATGGTCCGACGCCCTACTCTGGGCCGGCTCCATGGCCCAACGCTCAACATCCGCCTCTCGATGCTCATCACGGCCATGTCCAACCTCGGACGCGCAGCGTACAGCTGCGCTCTGCTGGGATAAGAGAACCCGTTGTTGAACAACTCAGCGAGCATGTCCTCGTAGACGCGCGGGTAATGAGCTTTGAACGTAGCTTCGCTCTGCTTCTCCAAGTCCTTGAACTTTCTCAAAAAATGCCGTGCACCGAATGAAGCGTAACATATGCATCGACGACTGGGTTGTGCGACGATCGCCGTTGCCAAATTCGGCAACGTCCCTCCAGTCATCTGGTGCCGAATCCGACGCTGAAGCTTCATGTTCGCATCCTTTACTGCGAGACAAATACGATGCGATGTCCGCTCGGCTGGGCTTCGATGTAAAAGGGAAGATCACACTTCTATTGCGCATTGAGAGTGGGACGATGCAGCACTCGTCAGTAAGCCCTGAAACGATACAACGACCTAGTACCACTGATGTAATAAGGATCTCTGACACTGGCAAACCGACCCTCTGCAAGAACGCGGGAAGGCCAACTTCACGACGAATCGCCCGTTGTACCTGTCCAAGGCTCACACGACCCGCTGAACCAGGCAATAGTTGCGGTGCTGGGCTGGCAAGACCCTCAATGTACGGATGTTCGAGCAGGCCTGCGTGATTGCAGTACCTGCGCCGCCACAAATCTGATCTGACAAGGGTACGCGCATCACTCAACTCCGACGTCGACTCTGAGAACCTCCAGTTTGAAACAACGACGCCCAACAAATATTTATCATCAGACGCTGGCAGCGGATCCTGGAAGAGCCCATTGTGCACATAATACAACGTATCTGAATCCGATGGCTCAGGCTTGCCGCAATCCCCTAAAATAGCAACTGCAAACCGAGGGCCATGGTCTCGTAAGATACATTGCCTCCTCGCGCGCTTTGCTCCACTGGGCTGGAGAAGCTCAGGCGACGAAGTCGGGTGCGGGCACAGCACCTCTGAGTCTGAACTCATGTGGGCCAAAATGGCTGCGGACGAAGGATCGAGTTGCGTCGAACATTGTTTTGTGAGCATTATGCCAACAATCGCCCTTACGATGACGACGGCCACGACGATGTCGGTTGTGGTGGGGCAACTCAATACGGCCAGGAACATGCTCATGCACAATGCTGTGATGCACCGACCCCCAGTAGAAATATCATCAGGGACCGTGCAATGCCAACTCTTTCCAAACAGCCCACAAGGGAGGGAACGACTTTAGAAACTTCCGCCCTCGCAGGGGGCAACTCCAACGTCGGCGGGGTCGAACTTACCCCACATTACGTTCGAACATCATTCCGCATGGCCGAAGGCCCTTCAAGGCTGAAGCAGTTCTACTTTCGCATTACAAGAAAGCCTTCAAGGCAAGGGGCAAGGAGAGAAGGGAGGAGCGAGAGGGAGGATAAAGGAGAAGGAGAGGGAGAGGGATAGGAAGCTGAGACAGAAATAATGATAATATTTTCCTATATCCCCACGCCCCCCCCCCACCTACAGGAATCACTCCTGGCCTCCCTGGGCCTCCCCAAACCCCTAAGCGCGGACTTTACAATTGGCCCTCTCCAGGGTCTGAAGCCTCCTGGGCATATTCCTTAACGCATCGTACTCTCCGGACCTCTCCGGGGTGCGTTCTGACCAGAATTCCGAGGCGATCCCGGCAGTGGTGACGAGGGCCTCCCAGGAAGCCCACGAAGGCGAGAAGGAGGCAAGGGAGCGGGCATCGGTACCAGTTCCTGCTGTGAGCCTCGGCGGACTGGCGCACGCGCTGGCCGAGCTGCTCGGACTCCGCCTGGAGCCTCAGCACGCCCTCCCGTTCCTCGGAAGCCCACAATGGACGCACGCGACCAACCACGTACATGAATACGGGCCCCCAATCCGCGAGACCAGCCTCGTGGAACGTTCGCGCAACGTGCACGTTCGAAACCAACGGAGATGCATGTACGTACGTGTACGTCCTTCTGTCGCCCCAGAAGAGCAAGCGCGGGCAGGACGGACAGCGGCAGGAGGGACACGGGGCTGGAGGACGGGCAGGCAGGCAGGGCGGCCAGAGCACGCTCATTCCTCCGTCCATCCCTCCTCCTCCTCCTCCTCCTCCTCCTCCTCCTCCTCCTCCTCCTCCTCCTCCTCCTCCTCCTCCTCACCACCACCACCACCACCACCACCACCACCACCACCACCACCACCACCACCACCACCCCACCACCACCACCACACCACCACCACCACACCACCACCACCACCACCACCACCACCACCACCACCACCACCACCACCACCACCACCACCACCACCACCACCACCACCACCACCACCACCACCACCACCACCACCACCTCCTCGCCCTCGCTCCTCGTTCGTCCTCCTACCTCTCCTCTTTCTGCTCCTGCTCCTGGAAGAGGAGGAGGAGGAGGAGGAGGAGGAGGAGGAGGAGGAGGCGGAGGCGGAGGAGGAGGAGGAGAATTGCGTAAGGGAGGGAGGGAGATGGAGGGAGGGAGAGAGGGAGGGAGAGGGATGGCCAGCGTGGCAACGCGAGCCTGGTGCCATGCTTCCCCCCCTTTTCTGGCCAAGCGCCCCCCGAAAGCTCCCGCTCCAGCGCGGCCAGGTCGCCCCTGAGGTCCTCGCACAGGAGGGGTGGGGCGGCTCGCGGAACGGCTCCACATCGTCATCCTGGCCTTCCTCCTTATCATGATGCTCCTCCTTCCCCCTTGCCTCGCTCTTCCCGATCCCTCCTCGCAAAGCCCTGTGTTCCCTCCCCCATTCCAGTTCCTCCAAATATCCCTCATCCGTTCTCCTCCGTCCCTCCTCGCTCATTCCTCCTTCCTCCTCCAAATCCTCCTCCTCCTTCTTCTCCTCCTCCTCCTACCATTCCTCCTCCTCCTCCTCCTTCTCCTCCTCCTCTTCCTCCTATTCCTCCTCCGCCTCCTCCTCCATTCTTTTTCCTTATGGATAGCCTCTCCCTGTCGCACCCAGAAGCCAGTGTTTAGGGCGGGCTGGGCGTCTCGCCTGAGACGCCCTCAACATGTATGACTCTGAAGCTTCAAAAATGGCAGCTGTTTCACACATTGAAGGTGGGTCGTTTTCAACATGTGGTTCTGCGCACATTCGTTAAACATTTCATTTCAGAGGTTTCACGGATTGATGGCGGGTGGTTTTCAAAGTGTGGCTCTCGCCTCAGCACCGCGCACATTCGTTTTGAAACTTTGCAAGGCATTCACGAATTGAGGGCGGGTGGTTTTCAAAGTGTGGCTCTCGCCCTAGCGCCGCGCACATTCGATTTAAACGCGTGAAACAGTGTTTCACGGATTGAGGGCGGGTCGTTTCCACAATGCGGCTCTCACCTTAGCGCCGCGCACATTCGTTTTGAAACTTTGCAAGGCATTCACGAACTGAGGGCGGGCGGTTTTCAAAGTGTGGCTCTCGCCCTAGCGCCGCGCACATTCGTTTAAACACGTGCAAAGTTTCACGGATTGAGGGCGGGTCGTTTCCACAATGCGGCTCCCACCTCAGCGCCACGCACATTCGTTGAAAACTTTGCAAGGACTTCACGGATTGAGGACGGTTTCTTTTCAACATGTGGCTCTCGCCTTAGCGCCGCGCATATTCGTTTTTTGTTCAAAAGATGAAGAGTTTCAGGGATTCCCATGATCAGCGCACCAACGGCAACAGTGATGATGCTTCGCGGTGTTGAAGTCCCAAAGACGGCTTTCTGGTAGGAGTCCTGATCATCAAGACGCAGCAGTCAGGTTGATCCATGGCGTTGAAATTCCGAGAACACTGTTTTAGCATGCTTCAGAGTCTTCAAACGGATGCTTTCCAACGAAGCAGTTCCCTCAATGAAGATGAACCGTTGTAGGGGTCTCTGAAGAGGGAGCTTGGAGGGAGGGTTAATTCCAACATCGATGATGACTCTTGGGTTTACAGTGGTCCTTCTCCTCCCTCCTCTTCCTCCTCCTCCTCCGCCTCCTCCTCCTCCCCCATCCTCCCCCATCCTCCCGGTTCCCAAGGAGCAGGAGGACGAGGAGGACGAGAAGGTACAGGGGAGCGAGGAGGCAGAGGCGGGCAGACGGAGATGGAACAGAGGAAGGAGAGGTAGGAGCCCCGGACACCCTGGCGGGGCCAACATCATCCCTGCCCCTGCTGCTGGCAGGAGCCCGATGGCCTTCCAGACCTCCAAGAGGGCGCGCTGAAGTCCCCGAGGTCTGAGCGCTGGCCCACCTCTCTGCCCTTTGGCGGCGCCGGCGGCGGAGTGGGGCCACGAACACCGCGGTGTGCTCGGTGCGTGGCTATCCGAGCTCTCGACCTCCTTGCGACGGCCAGCCCACCTCGCCAACCCCGTACGCTCACGCCTCCCCGGCCACAAGCGATGACATCCGCGGGGCTGCCCTCCTCGCCTCGCCGCGGTCGATCCAGCCTCCCACACGCTTCGGGTGTTGTGCCCGAAGGGGGGGGCAGGACGAGGGAGATCAGCGTATCATGGCCCGAAGCACCTGCGCGGACGAGGGGGGTGGGGGCAGGGACCGCGCTGAAAGAAAACGATGGGGCCATGACATGTGGGAGAATTCAGAGCCCCAGCCATGCACAAACTTGGAAGACGGGCGCGGCAAAACTTCGCCCGGGACCAGCCTTTCACCACGGGCCGTTCTAGAGTCTAGATGGCCAGCGGGCCACACAGAGGCCCAGACGTAGGAAAAAGAAAAACCCGCAGTCGCGACGTTCCGCCTGACGCTCGAAGTCCCGGGAGGAGGCTCAGCAGGGATGAGGAGCAGGTCCAGAGAGGTCTAGGTCCAGAGAGTTCCCAGGGCCCTCTCCGGCCTCTTGTCGTTCCCATCGTTTCCCCTTACCATCTCGTGTTTCTGCCCCCTCTCCTGGCGACGGTCAGGAGAAGGGCTACTTACACTATGGTATCGACGATCATGTCGGAGCAGGGCGAGTTGAGACGACGGCATCTCAAAGTCTGTCCCCGGACCCCTCCAGGGGTCCAAACGCACCAGCTTTCCGAGCTGCGTCCAGCCGCCTAGGGGGCCTCCCGAAGGCCAACTGCCGCTGTCTCCAGTCGCCCCCCCCGACAGTCCTGACACTGCCACCACCCTGAGCCCTGCGCCAGGAGGGCGGCCTGCAAGGTCCTCGAGGCGCTCGCGCTCGCGGAGCAGCGCCTGCATGCCGCGCTGCGCTCCCGCGTGGGACGCCTGGGTCGCGCCCTTGCGCCACGCGAGCAGCCTGGCGTGGGGCTCCGCGAAAATGTCGTCGAGGCAGTCGCTGGCTCCCGCCTGAAGGCCGGGAGGGGAATCGAGGATCGATGGTCCTAGTAGGTGTTGGGTTGGGTCCTTTTGTGGTGTTGGGTCCCCGTTTTGAAGAGACAGCGCCCCGCGTCGCCTCTCCTCTCCTCTTCTTGGCGCCATAGGGAGCTCCACCGAAGGCCCCAATGGCTGTGTTCACATACGTCTCGCGCCACACAGTACGGCGCTTCGTGGCCCCATAGAGTGCCACCGAAGGCCCCAGCGGGGGCGATCACATGCGTAACGTCCCGCGCCACCCAGTACGACTCTTCGTGGCCCCATTGGGGGCTCCACAGAAGGCCCCAATGGCTATGATCACATGAATCACGCGCCACCCATAACTGGCTGTGATCACATCCGTCCCGCGCCACCCAGTACGGTGCTTCGTGGCCCCACAAAGAGCTCCACCGACGGACTCAGCGGCTATGATCACATGCGTCCCGCGCCACCCAGTACGGCGTTTTGTGGCCCCATAGAGAGCTCTGCCCCAGTTGCTGTGATCGAATGCGCCTCATAGGAAACTCCCCTGAAGTCCCCAGCGGCTGTGATCACATGCGTCCCGCGCCACACACTACGGCGTTTTGTGGCCCCATCGGGAACTCCACCGAAGGCCCTAATGGCTATGACAACACACGTGTCCCGCTTCGTGGCCCCAAACGGAGCTCCACCGAAAGCCCCAGAGGCGACGTTCGCATGCGTCCCCCCCCCGCCAATGTCGGTATACTACTCACACGCTGTGTGCCGTTAGCGCCTCGGCAAGCCGCCTGTTCCCGCAAACCGCCTGCTCGACATGGCCGCCTGTGCCCGCCTTCCCGACCCGCCCGTTGGGGCTTACCCGCAGGATCTGCCCGTCTGGTTCTACCTCATGCTTTCTGCTCCTAGCCCCCCCCTGCCACTCTCACTCTTTCTCCCTCTCGTGCTCCATCCTCTTCCCTCCTCCTTGTCCCTTCCTCCCATCCGTCCTCCCTTCCCCTACCTACTCGGCTGCACGTCATACACGTCGCAGGTCAGACAAGACGAAAAGGGCGGGTATCGAGGGCTGGGAATATACGGATTGAATGGCATACGAAAGAAACCGAACAGTCTTAAAATGAATGTATGTTGTTATTGGTGGTGTTGTTGTTGGTGTTGCTGATGTTGTCGAGTTCTCATTTCTAACAATGATCAGGTTTGATCCCACCCAATTCCGGTAACCGCTGTATGTTTCAATTGAAGTGGTCCCCCCGGTGCTCGCCCCCCTATATCTGTTATCAGGGATTAATTGGTGCCACCAAACTGTGTAGTTGGACCCCAGAGTTACAACAACAACGTCGCCCGCGTGATACTCCCCGATAATAGATTCAAACATCGCGCTCTCGCGCGGGACTTCCTCTGAAGTGCAGGAATCGCGCTCTCGCATGAGATTTCCTCGCAGTGTATTCTCACGCCGGGCCCTGGACACTCAGGAATCATGCTCTCGCTCTGGCCTTTCCAAATATTTACTTGGGAATCGCGCTATCGCTCGAGCACTCTTCGCGATTCATGCAAGACGCACGCTTCAACAACCCGCCTGCTCGACATGGCCACTTGGGCCCGCCTTCCCGACCCACGCGTTGGAGCCACCCGCGCGATCGACCCGTCTGGTTCTGCCACGTGCTTTCTGGTCCTAGCCCCCCTCCTGCCAAGTCGTGATCCATCATTATCCTTCCCCCTTCTGTCGGTCCTGTCTTTTTTGGTTTCAAGTGGTGCGCCAATTACACGCGGCAGGTAAAGAAGATATACCACCAGGGGAGTACGACCGAAAACGAAGAGGATGGGTACCGAGGGTGTGAGATTTACGTTTTCAACGGCATGAGAAAAGGTGAGAGCGAACTGTCTCAAAATGAAAATTTAATTCTCACTTCTAAACAAAAAGTATTGTTGATCCCCCCTCTGGCAACCATTGTTTTTTTAATGAAGTCCCCCCTAGTGCTCGCACCCTGTTTTCTGCACACGTTCCAAATCTATAAAAAACAAGGGAAAGCGAGGTGCCACCCAACTGGGACACTGGCCCCCGAGGTACGACAACAACAACAAACATAATAATTTGAAGACTGCTCGCTTTTACTTGACCGCGCCCCACTCAACACGTATATCGCAAACCCTCGATACCCGCTCTCTTCATCTTCGACCGTACTCCCGCGGGGTTACATCTTCCTTGCCTGCCACGCAAATTTAGCGCAGCCTCTAAAACAGAGCAAGAGAGGACGGATGGGGGAGGGAGAAGCATGGAGCACACGAGAGGGCCTCTCGGAGTAAATCGTGAGGAAGTATCGAGCGGGAGCCCTTGTCATCGTGGCTGCGCCTCTGCGGGCTGGGGCCTCCATGGGCTGTGTCGGGGGGCCTCTGGGAAGCGCGTTGGGGCCTGTGTGGGCGCGCTTGGGGCCTCTGTGGGCTGGGGCCTGTGTGGGCGCGGTTGGAGCCTCTGTGGGCTGCTTTGGGGGGCATCAGTGGGCAGCGCGCTGGGGTCTCTGTGGGCTGGGTCCTCTGTGGGCGCGCACGGGGCCTCTGTGGGCTGTGTCGGGAGGCCTCAGTGAGCATCGCGCTTGGGCCTCAGTGGGCGCGCTTGGGGCCTCTGTGGGCTGGGGCCTCTGTGGGCTGTGTCGGGGGCCTCGGTTGGCAGCGCGCTGGGGCCTCTGTGGGCGCGCTTGGGGCCTCTGTGAGCTGGGGCCTCTGTGGGCGCGCTTGGGGCCTCTGTGGGCTGTGTTGGGGGCCTCAGTGGGCAGCGCGCCAGGGCATCTGTTGGCGCGCTTGGAGCCTCTGCCGGCTGGGGCTTCTGTGGGCGCGCTTGGGTCCTCTGCAGGCTGTGTCCGAGGGCCTCGGTGGGCAGCGTGCTGGAACTTCTGTTGGCGCGCGGGGGCCTCTGCGGGCAGTGTTCGAGGGCCTCAGTGGGCAGCGTGCTGGGGCCCCTGTGGGCGTGCTTGAGCTTCTGTTGGCTGTGTCCGAAGGCCTACATGAGCAGCGTGCTGGGGCCTCTGTGGTTCGGGGGCCTCCCTGGCCAGGGTGTAGGAGTACATTGCGAGGGCGTGTCGAGCGGGAGACCCTGTCGTCGCAAGTGGGCCTCCGGCGCCAGTATCGAACGGGGGCCCTTGTCGTCGCGGCTGGGCCTCCACCGACTTGACTGAATGACGAGGGCGTCTCGAGCGAGAGCGCCACTCTTGAGTACGGGGGCCTCTCTGGCAAGGGCCTCTGCGAATACATCTTGAGAAAATATCAAAAGGAAGCCCTTGTCGTCGTTGGGCCTCGAGCAAGTTGACTGAATCGCGAGAAAGTCTCGAGCGAGAGCGCAGTTCCTGAGTTCGGGGGCCTTCCTGGCCAGGGGCTCTCGGAGCAAATCGTGCGGAAGTATCAAGCAGGCGCCCTTGTCGTCGTGGCTGGGCCTCCGACAACTTGACCGGAATGCGAGGAAGTCTCGAGCGAGAACGCCGTTCCTGAGTTCGGGGGCCTCTCTAGGCAGGGCGTCTCGGGGTAAGTTGTGAGGACGTATCGAGCGGGAGCCGTTGTCGTTGTAGGCGGGCCTCCAAGGGCACACATCTACACTCAAGACACAGCTCGCGCGGGAGCCCCACTTTCAGAGAAAGTGTAGCTGGCGTCGAGGCGAGAGCGCGCGAAATCGCTTTCGGATATCCATAATAGTTATTAGTGTCAAACAACAACAACAACAACAACAACAATCATTTTACCCGAACGCTCAGTGTTCTCACCAGTGCCAGGGTTTTCATGCGACGCGAGACAATACCCCCACTTCGTGGGGGGGCAGTTCAAGCTCTACCAAATATCCAAACGACTCTTCGCGACCACCCAAACCCAGCTTCCCGCCCTATGACGTTGGGACACTTCACTTCGTGGCGTGCGGACGACCGTGGCTACTACACTGGCGTGGGGTACACACCCACAGAACTTGGTCACTTATTCGGGGCGCGCGTGTGCCCAGCATCCTGCAATTGTGACATACAATACATGACACAGACAGACAGAGAGAGAGACAGAGAGCAGACAGAGAGAGAGACAGAGAGAGCGGAGTTGGTCACATTTTTGGGGCAAGTTCCTGAGATCGTCGTGTTTTTTGTTGGTCTTGCGCGCGCGAATGTCCACTTTACTTTTTTTTGCAAGGGAGTATTGAAATTTGATTATGTTAGAACAAGAAAAAGTAGCTCGCGCGAGCTCATGTAACATAAATGTTGAAAAACCATTGGTTTTGTGGGAGTCGGACAGCGCGCGCGGGATGAAATTTGGACATTTTTTTTTGAAAAACCATTGGGTTTTTGATGTTTTTATGTTGAAATCGTTACGAAACCTAAGGTTCTGGAAGGATTTCGTCTTGCGCGCGCGAATGTCCACTTTACCTTATTTTTTGCAAGGGATTATTGAAATTTGATTATGTTAGAACAAGAAAAAGTAGCTCGCGCGAGCTCATGTAACATAAATGTTGAAAAACCATTGGTTTTGTGGGATTCGGACAGCGCGCGCGGAAGGACATTTTGACAATTTTTTCTTAAAAAACCATTGGGTTTTTGATGTTTTTATGTTAAAATCGTTACGAAACCTAAGGTTTTGGAAGGATTTCGTCTTGCGCGCACGAATGTCCACTTTACCTTATTTTTTGCAAGGGATTCTTGCAATTTGATCAAGTAAGAACAAGAATTTTCATTTTCTATTGTTTTTTGCAAGGGAAAACGAGCGTCAACAAAAAACCGGATCCGGACATAATCCACTTTTCTGAAGCTTTCGCGAAAAAATGATGAAAATGTAGCTGCGGCCTAGGCGCGGCGCAGAGGTCGCGCACCAGGGGTCCCAACAATAATAATTCTTTAGAAGGAATAATGTTCAACAACAACAACAACAACAACAGCAGCAACAACAACAACAACATCAACAACAACAACAACAACAACAACAACCACAACAATAACAACACCAACAACAACAACAACAGCAGCAACAACAACAACACCAACAACAACAGCAACCATAACCACAACCACAACAACAACAACAACACCAACAACAACAATACCAACAACAACACCAACAACAACAGCAACAACAACACCAATAGCAACAACAAAGGTTCCCTCCTGACAACTCCTCATGATGTATTTCAAATGCGCGCTCTCGCGCGGGACCTCCTCATAATGTATACAGGAATAGCGCTCTCGCGTGGAGCTTCCTCGCAATTTACTCAGGCGTCGCACCTCCAACACTGAGGAATCACACTGTCGCTCAAGCCTTTCGCACGATTCAGGTTGGAATCGCGCTATCGCGCGATTCATGCTCACGCTTCAGCAACCTGGCTGCTCGACCTGGCCGCCCTGGCCCACCTTCCCGACCCGCCCATTGGGGTCTACCCGCGCGATGGGCCCGTCTGGTTCTGCCACCTGCTTTCTGGTCCTAGCCCTCCTCCCCTCATGAACTTCGCCCCCTCAGGCTTCGCCGCCCGTCTCCTGGGGCTCAAACCATTTGTGCTTCATGCATGCTCCTATAGATTACCCCTCTCCTGAGGTTCAAATCCGGCGTGTTTTACGTTTGTTCCCAAAGAGTGCCCCACGACTTGGGCTCGAATCCTTTGTGTTTTACGTGTGTTCCAACGTATAATTCCCTTCGACTGGGGCTCGAATTGAAGAGACGAGCTCCTGACTCCTGACCCGCGTCGCACACCCTGCATAGGCCGCCTGGCCCCAAGGGGCCCCGTGTTTCCTGGGGATCCCGCCTCGCGTCTTCGACGAGTGACGACTGCATCGCGGCCGCCGCCAGGCCCCAGGGGTGCTGGTGCTTCCTGGGTATCCCGCCCCGCGCTCGGGCGGCGCGCACCAGGGGGGCGGGTGGGAGGGGGGAAGGCTTCCTGGAAGGAGGCTGCTTCTTAGAATCTTAAAAGGCGCCGGCCCTACATCTGCAGTCAAGACCGCCCCTTCTAAGAAGCAGGGGTACTTCCAAGAAGCCCTCCCCCCTCCTCCTACCAGCCTCTGCGCGTGGCCGAGCGTTCTCGGGTGGAGATCGCTATCGCTGGAAGCAAAATGATGTCGCTGTTTTGCTTCTGCGCTTCTGCCCCTCTGGGGCCTCACGGGTCCTGCAGGAAGTGGAGGGCGGCTGGCGGGGGGGGGGGGGGACAACTGCACCTCGGCCGCACGCCGGCTGCCTGTCTTGGGCGCCTCTCGGGACGCCGCAGGCGAAATCCCGTGCCATCGAGGGGAGCGTCTCTGGCGTGGCGCCGGAGCCGGCCTCAGGCGGTGGTTTCCCGGACGCCATTTGTCCCCAACTCTTGCGTGGCAGCTCCTGGGAGTCCTTCGCAAGAACGTTTCAACAGGCCACGAGGCCCGAGAGAAGCCATCGAGCCGGGGTAAGCTGACCCGAAGCTAAGCGGGCCTCGGCGGAATTGTGCTGCATCGGGCTGGTTTTCGACCACGGATGTACCAGCGCCGATGCTGAATCAAACCTCCCAGGAGCTGCATCCTAACAACTCCCCCTTGTCGGACAGGCCGGCTGCAGGCCGAGAGGACACCGCGGGAGAGGAACCGCTGACCACGCCAATCTCCCGGGGAACGCGAGCAACCCCCCCAGGAGCTGTCGGAGAACCGGGTGTCAAGTTTGAATGCAGATCGGATCAGGCACCCCCATGGGCAATCATTCCTGGACGCCTCCCCGGCACCGGCGTGCCATAGGATCCACCCGAAACCGCGAGTTCGTATCACCGCTCGTCCCTCAAAGTCGGGGGTGTTCGAAGTCTTAGCTTGCGGGGGTGGGCAGAGCCCACTTCAGCAAGAGAACAGTCAGTGAAAACGACCCAGGACCAAACCTTGCGGGCGCAGGCCCAGAACATGCGCCACAACATCCTCTAGAGAATCGAACAAGAGCAATTCGCTGATCGACTCAGCAAGTTGGGGTTTCTATTAACCGTCGAAGCGTATAACAACTTCGTGCTGCGCCCGCCAGCGGAGGAGAAGGGAGGAGAAGGAGGAGAAGCGCCTGGAGGTGATGTTCGACAGCATGGAAGGCGGAGCGTGGGACCATCACGCCAGCCGTCATTGCTGGCCTCGTGGCCCTCCCGAGGTGCACCTGCTGCTCTGGATGCGAGGCCCTGTACCAACGTGGCTTGGGGCACGCTCTCTGACGGGGAGAGAAACAACAGCGACGATAACAAAGACTACTACTTCGATAGCGACGACGTGGGCAACGCTCGGAGGCCGGCGCCAAGGGCAGGAACAAGTGAGAGATGAAGCGGACACGGGCAGGAGCAGCTCGGGAAGCCTGGCCGAGGAGCGAGGAGCAGCCGACGCTTGCAGTCCGCAGGAGTCCACTGGCGGCTTCCCGAGGACTGCACTTCGGCATCGTCGTGTACTTGGAGTCTTGAGCGGCTGCTGTACCCAGCGAGCGCTCAGAATGTATTCTGCGCGCCCCTGTGCACCGAGTTGCCGAACTTGCTGAAACAAGTGTTGCTTGAGTCCACTATGCGCATTGCCCCAGCAAAAGCCTGGACGTGCATGCTATGCAATTGTCACATGCGCGTGGCATTCACCGTAGAACTGGCGTCGAACACGTTAGTTGGATGATTGGGGGAAGATGGGGGAGAGGTGCCCACGTAGACCACGTTGCTTTAAGAACGCTCACACATTCAATGTCACGCATCAGCATGCACACTGGATACACGCATCGTGTCATACTGCTGGCACGATGATCTGCAAGCATGTGCGTTGGATTAGCCTCAGTCAAACTCCTCTCGCGATCAATTAGCGAATGAGTTGGCGTGCAGATTGTGCTCGTAGTGGAATTTCCTTTTAACGCGCGACAGCTACGTCATACCAAGCTCATTGCATGCTATGCTAGTCCTCGTCCTCATCCACTTCCCCTGCAGTCGACGCTGCTGCTTCTCCTCTTCTTCCTGCCACTCCCTCCTCCCGGTGACACGCACAATGTATTGAACTATTGAAGGGTGTCCGACGGTGCTCGCACCCAAGGGGCTGCCTGCAAATGTGATCGCCGGAACCCCAGACCCGGGGAGGGGGAAGGGGAGGGGGAGGGGAAGGGGCAGGGGCAAGGGGGAGGGGAAGGGGAGGGGGAGGGGCAGGGGGGGAGGAGGAGGAGGAAGGAGGAGGAGGAGGAGGAGGAGGAGGAGGAGGAGGAGGAGGAGGAGGAGGAGGAGGAGGAGGCGGGGGGGCTGGAGGAAAGGGGCGGAGGAGCAGCATAACAAGACGTCCGCCATGAGACTGTACCAGGGGCCTCTCGAAGGCCCTCCCGCTCGGGGCAGGGCCACCGGTGGAAGGCTCTGCACGTCATCCTCCTCTCCTCCTCCTCCCTCCTCCTCCTCCTCCTCCTCCTCCTCCTCCTCCTCCTCCTCGAGCGCTCCTTCTGCTCCTCTTCTCCTCCTCCTCCTCTCCTCCTCCTCTCCTTCCTTCCTCCTCTCCTCCCCTCCTCCTCCTCATCCTCCTCCCATCCCCCTCCTCCTCCTCCTCCTCCTCCTCCTCATCCTCCTCCTTCTCCTCCTCCTCCTCCTCCTACTCCTCCTCCTCCTCCTCCTCCCTCCTCGAGCGCTCCTTCTGCTCCTCGAATAATTCTCCCGGGGGAGGGGCAGGCGTGACAAGTAGGCGGACAGGGAGGAAGTGGACGAGGAGGAGGACTAGAATACACCAAGGGTGGACCAAAAATGCTGTCGGCGGTGGACGAACCTCCCTTTAGTAAACCACACTTTAGTGAAAACGGCCTGGGACCAAAATCGACGGGCCTGGACCCGCAAAAATGACGGCCGCGACGCCCTCTCGCGAACCAAAAACGGCCAATTCACTAATCGACATGTCAGGCAGGCTAGGAGGTCTATCAATCTCCGATGCCGCAATACTCCCTCCCGTCCCAGGCCCCCTCCTGGCCTGTACTTGCCAGCATCCCTTGCCCCGGCGCGAGCAAAGCGCGCCACCTTGAAAGTGAGCGCCCCGTGGGCCCGTAACTCAAGCGAGCGCTCCGTTCTGGAAGGGAATTAATTCGCCCTCCTGGGAACAGGCCAGCTATACACGTCGTTCGGAAGAAGTCGGTAGAATCATAAAGTAGGAAGGCGGACAAAGTGGAGTCGGTCCAGGACCTCCCCGAGAACAACAAAACACAGCAAACTCATGCCCAGTCTTGACGTAGACAGGCGCTTTAAATAGATTGGGATCTGGGAATCCAAAAATACCTACTTTCAACGACCGGCGTGTACACCTGTACCGATCCTGGCCGAACACCACGCTGTGGAGGCCAATGTTTCCTGGCATGGGTCTCCACTGCAGGCCCAGGATCGGTGTGTACGCTATCCTGACTTGGGCGGGAAGGCATTATCATATACCCCGATCCTGGGCCCATCATCGGCCTGGCCAGGATCGGTGTAGGTGTATCGTTGGCGCTCCCTCTGACCTCCATCATTCCAGGTATCAGGGATGAGACGGGGGGAGCATAAAATTAACTTGTGAGAAGAAGCCATCCCCCATCCGAGCAATTGCTGTACACTACGAACTCGTGTCGTAAAGCAAGAAGGGGTCCAAAAACGACAACTCCAACCTGAAAAACGAACCGACCGCCATCCGTGTAGCTGGTGAATTGTCCTATAAGTTAGGAACAAGGAAAGGCGACACCAACACCAACAGGGCGAGGAGATGCGAGGAGGCAAGGGGGAATTCCCTGGTGGTGTGGTCCCCCCCTCTGGCTCGAGACATCCCCAGCCTCCAGCTCGGAAAGGCATCGTGGACCTCCTCGCTGGCGGTGGTCCCCTGGTGCTGTTGGTATCGCTTCTCCTCCCTCCGAATAAGTCGAAAGCGTGAAGGAAGTCTCGAACGAGAACACACGTTGAAAGAGGACAGCCCTCCGCCCGTGTACCTGTGGGATCCATTACAAGAGGAATGCACGGCCCTCCCTCCTTCCTCGACCCCACCCCTCGCTCGCGTCGGTCCCGTTTGAGAGGGATTTCTCGTCACCGTCGATGCCTTGTCACCACCGCTGGAGCAATGAGATGCTACCAGCTTGCTCCAATCGACCCCCCCCCCCACCCCCTCCACCCGCCTGCCATGAAGCAAGCAAGTCCTGGACCCCAGGCGCCCCCCTCCCCCCCCCCCACCCCCGCACGGCTGCCACGCAGCAGGCAGGTCCTGGACCCTGGGAGGGCTCCCCAGGACCGGCCTGTGATCGCTCCTGGGCCCGAGGAGGGCCTGGGCGGGAGCCCGAACACGGCGAGGCGCCTCCGGGGCCCGCATCCCTGGAGAGCCTCCTTCGCTCTGTGCGACCCGCGCCCGGGGCCGGGAGCCCCAGGCCGGCGCGTCTGGCAGGCATGATCGGCGGCGAGCGAGGGGGGGGAGTGAGAAGGAGAAGGCCTTCTCAGAAGGCGGCGGGACTTCCCAGAAGCCCTCGCGCCTTCTGAGAAGTTTTTGTCGGTCTTCGGGGAAGGCTTACAAAACGGCTCAGAAGGCTGGGGGCCTCCGAGCCTTCTGAGAAGGCCCGCCCCTTCTCACTTACCCCCCGGGCGCGCCGCCGACATGAGTTCCCAGCTGTTGGGCCGGTGGGCCTGGCAGACCCGGCAGACCCGTCAGACCTGGCCAGCCTCCCAGCAGGAGCATCATGGCTCCAAGGCTGGGGGTGAGAGGACGTGTGGATGCGGAGGCGATTGTGAAGAGAAAGCGGCAGGAGAGTTGGAAGGAAACTCAGACCCCGTCGTCGTGGTTTTTTAACAACGTGACCCCCAGGAGCCTGGACCTCTTCCCGGGGACCGGTTTTTCATCCTGAATCGTTTTTTGACGGTCCCGAGGCCCAGAAAGGGACCCTGGAGGCCGAAAATAGCGAAAACCCTCCCGTCGTGTTTTTGTTCCAGCGCGAGGGGGTCTAGGAGGGCAGGATGGCGGGTAGGAAAGGAGGGGAGGTGGTGGATGTCGAGGAGGGGAGGCGAGGGGGGGGGCTCTCTCCACGTCCAACACCTCCACGGTGGCGAGGTGCGCAGACCTTGGCCGCCACCCACCCTTCCGTCCCCCTGCAGTGGTCAGGCGCGCTGCCCCGACCCCGCCGACCGGCCACCCTCCTCGTCATCCTCGTCGTCGTCCTCCTCATCCATCCCTGTTCCTTCCAAACAGCTCCTCCTTGTCGCACCCCGACGCCGGTCGAAGGGGCGGGCCGGCCGTTTCGCCTGAGAAGTCCTCACCATGTTTGATTCTGAAACTCAGAAATTGCAACAGCTTCACGGATGGAGGACGGTCCGTTTTCAAAATGTAGTTCTTGCCTTAGCGTCGCGCGAATTTGTCTTAGAAGTTTGCAAGAGCTTCACGGATGGAAGGCGGCCCGTTTTGAAACTGCGGCTCTGGCCTTAGCGCCGCACACATCCGTTGCAAGGTTAGCAAGAGCTTCACAGATGGAGGCTTCCTGTTCAAAATGTGGTTCTCGCCGTAGCGCCGCGATCATTGGTCTTAAGAGTTTGCAGCAATTTCCAAGATTCCCATTATCAACATCCCAGAAATGGCGTTTTGGCGCGGCGTGGCCTGCTTCTGGGAACGCAGTGGCGCCAGGCTCGGCTCGCGAAGGTGCGGGGTGGGCTGGGGCTTTCGGAGCTGTGCCAGTGCTGCCGAGAAGAGGCTGGCACGCTTTGTCACAGATTTTTCGGTGCCCAGCCAACAGGGCCTGGAGGACCGACAATCTCGACGTTGATCTGGCCGAGGCGGCCGTAATTGTGCAGGAGGTCCGTGGGGAGACGGGTGAGAGGTTCGCGCGCGCTCTCGGCCCGACCCCTCCCTCTGCTTCCGCCCTCCCCCCCTCCCCCCAGGAGCTGAAGTTCAAGCGGGAGACTGGCCAGCGGCAGGCCTCATGCTGGATGGTGGGCACGTGTTCACGGATGGCGGCGCATGCTCTGACGCCGAGGGGCCGACTCTGCGGTCGGCGGGGCGGGGCCTCGCCGCCTTCGACGCTCAGTGTAGGCCCCTGGGTACTTTGCACGAGGCGGTCCCGCGCGATCTCTTCCCAGGACAGGGCGCACGGGATGGCGAAGACTGTGCAGTTTTAATGGCGGCTCGGCATGTGGCCGGTAGGTAGACTATTCCTGCTGACAGTCAGGGCATGGTCGATAGTGGGCAGGATTTAGTTCGCGCGCAGGGCGCGTCCGAGGCTCGCGCGCACCTGCGGCAGCAGGCCGCAGGGGGCGGCACCCTCGACGATGTATCATCATGATGAGAAGTCAAGGATCATTCGTCATGGAACGGCGTAACCGAGGGCCGTACCATGACGTGGTAGCGGGACGGAAACCAGGCTGCCGATCAAATAGCTAAGCGAGAAGCGTGGACCGGTCGCCTTGGGGAGGAAGACAGAAACTTCCTCAGAGGGTGCCTGGAGAT